AATAGCCTTTCCTTCCTTAATAACTTCTAGTATTTACAGTTTCTCTATATTTAATTATTTCTTAAGTTCCTTAAGTTTTTATTTATTTATCTTCTCTTTTTATTTCCTTTATTTTTTATTAAAATATTCTTATTTTTTAAGGTCCTTTATATATTTATAATATTTTTAATTCTATAACTTATTTTATTAAATTCTTTTTTATTTAAGCTCTTTTAAGGTATATAGCTTATTCTTCTTTTTTAGTTTCCCTTTTTTTTAGGTTTAATTATATAATTTTATTTTCTCTATTAAATTATCTATTATATCTACTTTATATTATTCTTAATATTTAGGTATATATAGCTATTTAGGGTTCTAGCTATTAAGTTAGTCTTAATATTTACTTACTGTAATTTAAATCTTATAGCTTTTTAGGCTATAAATATTATTATACTATATATTTAAATTAATTATAATTATAGTATTTATATTTAAATAGATTATATAATTTATAATTTCTATTATTTAATTAAATAACTTTAAGGATTATAAGTCCTTTATAGAATCTATATAATATATTATTTTAGTAATTCCCTTATAGTTATTATTAGTTTTAAGAGTTACTTTAGTTATTATTGTTTTATTGCTAATTAAGGTAATAGAGGTTAAAGTTATTTCCTCTCTTATAGTTTACTCTCTCTTTCCTGCATTTATATTATTATTTATCAATCTTAATTACTATAGTAATATATATAGTTAGATCTTTAGGTCTATTAATTAAGTATAATTTATCTTTAATTTCTTCTTTTAGGCTTTAATAATAAATTTCTATAAGTAAGTTATTATTTTATTAGGTTTTAATAACTAGCTATTAAAACTTAATTAAATAAAGTATATATAACTTATATTATTTAAGTATAAGTAATTTAGCTACTATTTAGTATTTTTTATTAACTACTTTAAAATTATCTTTAAGTACTTATTTAAAGTTTTCTTAATTTCTAAAAATATTTTAAGTATCTTAATTCTATAGGTTTTCTTTATTCTTAAGGTAATCCCTTATAATAAATTTAAATTAGTTTTTAATATCTCCTTAAATTAATAATATAATAAATAGTAGTTTCTTAATTAAGCTATTTAGCCTATTTAGAAATAGTTAAAAGTAACCTTTTATTTAAATAAGAAATAGAATTATATTACTTACCTGCCTTTTAAAGGGTTCTAACTTAAGTAGCTTAAATACTTCTTTAGGGTCCCTTTTATAATATTTATAGTTACCTCTTTTATTATTTATAATAGATTATATATTTATTTAGGCTTTAAGTATATTAATAGTATTATAAAGTTATTAAACTTTAGTAGCTATTTTAGTATTATTAGGCAGTACTTTAGTATAAGGAGGTATTAAGGTATTAGTATTATTAAATATCTTAATAGTATATTATTATTTAATATAATATAGTATATACTAAATAAGAGCTATTAATATATAATAGTTATAGGTTTTAAATAGGGAAATTAATCTATATTAGGTTTATATTTATAGAAATATAAGGTATATATATTAAGCTTAGCTTAAGTATTATATCTCTTAATAATTAAGTAATATATATTAGGCTTATTAATATAAAGAAGTTTTATTAATAGCTAATAAGCTAAGTTCTAGCTAAGTATTAATAGGCTTAATCTATATATTAATAGTAATTACAGTTTAGTGGCTATAATTACTATATAATTAGCTTTAATTACTGGTAAGTATCTTAATTATTAAGTAATTGCAGATAATTACTGTAATTATATAGTAAGTATATATAGCTAGGTTGCTTATTAGTTAAGAAAATGTGGGGGGTATATAATATAAGCGCTTTCTTAAATTTAATTATAATAAATAGTATATTAAGTATTTAATTTTAGGTTATTTTAAAGGGCCTAAAAGGTAAAAAGGGTTTTATCCTTATTTAAAGGTTATAATATATTTAGTAATTAAAGATTAATTAATTAAATAAAAAGTTAGATATAAAAAGGAAAAGCGCGGCGCTTAGGTATCTATAGCGCTTGCTTATTATATATATTATTATATTTATTAAATTTATAAATACTATTAATTAAAGTCTTTTATTAATAGTATTGTAAAAATCAATATTAAAATAAGTAATTCTTTTAAGAACTTATATTCTAACTTAAAATATTATTTATTAACTTTTAATATTATAAGTATAGTAAAAAAAGGCTTAATATATAAACCCTAAAAACTATAAGATAGACTGTAAAAAATATCTATAAATATTATTTAAGGGAATAAGGTTTAGTTGCTAATAACACTAAATGCAATAGTGAATATATATAATCTGTTATAAAGTGCTATTATAGTATATATATTAACCTGCCTTGCTTTTCAATATTGGGTATTAGTAATTATAGCTCTGTTCGGCTTTACAGGTAATCCTTTCTAGACATATTAAGAGTTCAGGAGCTTCCGCACGTCTTTGAACGTCGACTTGCAATAGGTCATCTTCAATAAGCTGGATGAGATCAGCCAATGCAGTATTGTCACTGCAAAGTGGTTGGCTTCGGAGATGACCGATAGCTTCGATAACCGCCGGGTGGATCTTTATCAGGTTGTCTGAATTCTGGACGAAGAAACTTCCAAAGGCGTCCTTGGGATCATCTCGGGTACGCCTTGACTTTCTGAAACTTCTGACGGTGCTATAGTCAAAGACGAGCCAGACAGTGAATTCGAGGAACATACAGCCCAGAGACCACATATCATACCGGCGGGCTCTTGCCTTGCCCTCTCGTTGATCTGACTGTGCTTCAGGTGCTTCGTATGTGACCGTGGACTGTTGGCAGTTGGTGGGGTCTTGCCTCATGCTGGTAATCTCTCGGTGGATCTTGGAGACTCCAACATCTGCAAGTATCAGTCTTCCTCTACTGTCTATGGTAGCATCATCATGCGCCTTGAGAAAATGAAGGATGTTTTGCGGCTTGATATCTCCGTGTCGGGTATTTTTTCCATGCAGGGCATTGATCGCACTGGCGATACCGAGCATCTGGCGAAGGGACCACAAGATGAGTTCCTGGGACCTTTTTTGTGAATCATTGCCTTTCCAAAAGTCTCTTAGATCTCCGCCATCGGCCCAAGGAAATATGAAGTAGCAAACGGGTCCCTTCTGACAGGTAGCGATTAATGTGATAAGGTGTTCATGCTTGAGGGATTGTATAAGCTCCAGATTTTCCTTTTCCTTTTTGAAAGCCTCGTCGTTGGCAACCTCCTTTACAGCCACATATGGCTCAGGATCATTCTAGATCTTGTTAGCGCTTGGAACGCCTCGCAGGTTACAGATATCGTGACCTTGAAGAGTGTCTGGTGAGCCCCGTGGATCTTGCATTTGTGTAGAACGCTGTTCGGGCCACTTTTGCATTTCATGACACAATCTATTAGGGGAAGAGGGCACTTTGAATCCAGTGAGATATGCTGACAAAGAAGGTCCAGCACAGGCGCTTGCACCAACCACTGAAATTTCAGAAAGTCTCGCACTCTTGCCTCCCTCGGCCAGAATGAAAATGAGGAGAAAGTCTTGCCAGTCTTGGGAGATATAAGGACGTTTTCGTTATCTCCAATCAGTGTTTGTCGAGCGAGGGGAAGATCTTCATCCTTGATGTTATCCCGACACACAAGATCAATAATGGCATGCGTTTCTTGAATGAGAACTAAGATGGAAAACACGCATCTGGCCTGGCTTAGTATCGTTCGTGGCAGACTGCGATTTGAGAAGCATCGCTTCCTGACCGGTATTTCCGACTTGATGTTGGCCTCAGTCACTCTAGCACTGATTTCGTTTAGTGGGAGGAACTCTAAGTCTTCGAGACAAGATATGAGGCATTTATCCAATTGCTTGTAGAGAGACATTCTGATCTCAGAATATCTTTACTCGACTTCGGTTGGCAATTGAAGCTTTCCCTTTTTGCTGACAGTACCAGATTCCCTGTGGGAAGATTAACAGGGGTGATAAAGTGTTTCTTTCCGTCGCGATCTAAGGATGCAGGACATGAGTGGGCTCCTGTGCGAACTGTGAGGCTCTGCAGTTCGGCGGCCTCATAAGGCGGACGGACTTCTGAGCTGCTTATCATCCGAGCTAAATTGAGTAAGCTGTTCATTATCGAAGAGGAAGGGGGAAAGAATGCAAAATGCGCGAATTGGGCTGGTGGGCGCGTCACGGTCGTAGCCTGTATCGTACACCGGGTACAGAGTGTGGCAGGCCTCAATGTAAGCGAATGCACTAACATGACACCACTTGGTTGAGAATACCCTTGTCACCTGTCAGCAGCACAACACCATCCCGGTCAGAACATAGCCATTCCCGATTCTCACAGCCTGATATCGCATTGATTGAAGGCTTTTGTCGACGTGAAAGTGATGAAAGCAAACAGCTGCAATGAATAATCGGAATCATCGACAAGACGAGTACACAGCAAAGGGCCTTTCCAAGGCAGATTTCCGGTAGAACCAACCCGCGGTTGAGCCAACATTATTCAGCGACAGTGATTTCTCAATGATGTCATCCCTATGCTCAGCCAAATTGTGGCTGGGCCAACTAGCCAGAAAATGAGTCCCATTGGTCAATCAGGTGTGATAATGCAATAAACACTGCAGAACACTTCACCAATGGCGGGTCACTGGCCATGCTAACACCTCGAAAATCAATGTTGCAAGTACATGGGTTTAGCACTTTAAATACTGTAAGATTGTCGATTGAGACCGCTAGAATCCCAATCAATGGCTCCCAGGAGAACGCAGTCTACTAGCAATATATTAGTTTAAAGCACATTGGGTCCATAGGCATTCATTCTCAACATCAGGCAGCAGTCACACAGATGCGAGTCCATGTCAGTCATATCACAGCGTAAAGTACTTGCATATGCATTAACTGTACGTGATACAACCATGAAGAAAAGTGAGGCTGATCGAATTTTACGGCCAAAAGGAGTAGCCATGCCATCATTCATTGTCTACATTGTTTCCCGTCTCAAAGAACAGCACTTCCGTGCATTCATACCAGTGTAGTCTTACCCCATCTCAACAAGTACGCCAGTAATATCGAGATATTTGCATCTTACAATGCCTATGATCTTAGAAATTATGGCTACTGTTTGGAATTTTCTCATCAGGTCCTCCTCACCAGAGGTCGAAAAAACAAAGCTCAATCGATTGCGCAACACCATTCGACATTCTCTTCAGAATAGCGTAATTAACGAGACAACCTTTCTTCCTGAGAGCGAGATTAAAAGCCTTGTGGCACCCGACAAGATAAAGCTATTATTGCCGAACGCGAAGCCAGAATTAGTAGACTTCATATGCAAGGATGCAAAAAAGCTCTTCTTGACTGCATCGTTGCACCATGGTAACCTTCAGGACATCATGGGCACTTTCAAGGGTCATGGCATGACAGACAAGTACCTCCCAATCCGCGATCTTACCTCAGAAGATAGGTACTGCGACGTTCATACTGAAGGGCTCCAACGGGTTTGCAGTCATGAAAAGGCTCTGGAGGCTTTTCATCGCTGGGATGCTCATGATGTCTGGAACTTTTACAACGATCAATGGAAGTTTTGTGCCCCAATGCTCAATATGGAATGCATCTCTCAAGAATTCCACCCTAAGCACATACTGCCGTTCATAAAGAAAGGTACCACCCAGAAGGATGGCCATTTCAGTACCGTTTTTGAGGCTGTAATTCATCCTAGCCATCAAATTGGCCGCGGGTCATTAAAGGTGAGCATCTTGGAATGATAAAAGCCATCGCTCACACCTCAATAGCCAAACATAGATCAGACGCGGGTCGCCCTCAAAGAGTTGAAAAACCTTAGCGAGCCAAATTACAACGTACATGTATCATGGCTGAATGAGGCAAATGCACTGTTCCAGATTGCCGAGCTTCGTCACAAACATCTCATTAGTCAGGCGACTGCCTTCAAACAAGGAGAAAGAAGATTCATCGTGCTCGAGTGGGCAAATGGGGGTAATCTGCGAGATATATGGCTGAAAGAGTCTCACGACAGATCTTTCCTTGACGGTGGCAAGGTCATGAGAGTTCTGGAAGAACTAACTGGGATCGCAAGTGCGCTCTCAAGATTACACGGCACTAACACCAAAACAAGAACGGCAAAGGCAATGTCTGCAGACCTCAGAAAGAAGAACCCTGTGTCGAGATCTAAAACAATTCCCTCACAGGGTCACGGAGATCGCCTGACTGTTCCAAAGATACGCTTCGAGGGAGTAAGCTCAGACGACGATTATGACTCCAGCGACTACGGTGAAGAGCAGCACTGGCGCCATGGAGACCTCAAGCCCGATAACATCCTCCATTTTACAGATGAAAAGACTCCTTGGCTTGGAACTCTCAAAATCGCCGACCTGGGTCTTGCCAAACAACACGCATTCGCCACTACCCAGAGACAGGACCCTACCCAGCAGAAATATACAACCTCTCACTACGAGGCGCCTGAAGTCATCACTACCATGAACTCGAGGGTGCCTCGCTCACGCCGCTACGATATATGGTCCATGGGTTGCATTATATTCGAGTACACGATTTGGCTTCTATATGGCTATGAAGAGGGACTGAGAAGCTTTTATGACGAGGGGAAGGATATTGATGCCTATCGAGAAACATTGTACTTTACAGCCGACCTCAGCACAAGGAAAGCTCAAGTGAGTGACGCGGCGCGAAGATGGAGTAGTCACATTTTGGAAGTCGACCCGGAGTGCAATCGTGCTACTCCAAGCGTGATCAAAGATCTCGTCACGTTGGTTAGGGATAAGCTTCTTGTTATTGGTTTACCAAAGGAAAACATGAGTCAGGACGACATCAAGCGATGTCGTGCCAGTGCAGATGACTTAGAAAAGGCCTTACAAAAGATCAAGAGAATGGCCATTGATGATGAACATAATGGAGGTAAATACCTGTCTTCGGGTAAAAGTCGCAACGGAATTTCCGCTCCTCGTCCGCAAAAGGTTCGTAGGCAGAGCTTCCTGTCAACCAGTTCAGGCTCGGCGTCAAAACCATCAAATCTGGTACGAGCCCTGGTCTGATTGATTGTGGCAATGGCTGATACGAAACAGGATGTAGGTAAATTGGTGGTAAATTGGAGGTGACATCAGATGGCTAACTGATTTCGGTCCGATCTTGTACTATAGACTGTAAGTGAGATTATAAAATAGGAGCTGGACACAAATGATAGCTAATCTTGAATTTAGTACGTGAGTTACGTCTTTGCTACAATGTCGTTCTATGAACGCTGCTTACCATGCATTATTGTATTTTATAGAGTGTAAGTAAGAAGTCCTTGTAATGTTTCTGTTGACAGTGGAGTGGCTAACTCAGATTGATTGTATAGCACGTAAGCAATATTTAATTATATTATGATAGATTAGTGTCTCAAAACTAACCAGAATTTTTTAAGATTGTAAGTCTGCATAATAAATCTGAGGCCAGAGTCTTTCTCTTACTAAGCATGACTTCATCTTGTAGGCAGTAAGCACAAGATCACGCCCTGATATAGTATTGTGAATCTGACTTGGGTAGTTCGATAACACTTGGAACCGGATGGAAGATAAAGCTTTCTCGCTTGGAATTCTGAAGCGTCACGAAACAACGATTATGAAGAGCATAACTAGGTCCCAGGAAATAGCAAAGCTGTGTGACAAATGCAGCAAACTTGACTATCAGAGCGAGGAGCCCGTATTGAGGGAGACTCTGGCGACTATGAGATCCAAGGTTCAGCGGTGTGCACTACACAGCCTTATTTACCGTTCTATTCCCCTAAATGCTTATGACGACCTGGAGGTTGTGCATATCCGGAGATCTGACTCCTCACTTGTCATGGACAAATCGAAAATACCCTTACTCTCTCTTTCTAAAACTTCAGGTGCGTAAAGCGTTGCCAGATGCAATGGTACCCTCAGTTGACTGTAGAAAGCAGATGAGTCAAAGAAGAACTATCTATACGCTGATGATATCCACTTTGGACTACCTAAGCTTTTTGAACCCAACACTGTCCCGTACTACGACCTTCTCATGGCATGGCTTCAAGATTGTGATTTTTATCATGCCGAATGTCATCCCATAGACAGATCAAGTGTTCAAGTCCCAACTCGCCTGATTGACATTGGTCTGTCGGATGGTAGAAGCTCGAAGGTTTACCTTCGCGAGGCAGTGAACGCTGTATGCCCCGAGAGAGGTGAGTTGAGATACATCGCACTATCACATCCTTGGGGCAATGGGAAAAATCACGACCACTTCTGCACCACGAAAAACAACCTTGACGGTCGGCTAAGTGCCGGTATTGATATTAAGGATTTCCCGAACACATTCAGACATGCAATCGAGGTGACTCGAGCACTTGGTGTCCCGTACATCTGGATCGATTCGTTATGTATAGTGCAGGGACCTGATGGGGACTTTGACACTGAAGCCAAAAGAATGGAGGCCGTCTTCAGCTCGGCATATTGCGTCATTGCCGCAAGTTGCGCCAACGGAACATCAAGTGGCTTTTTGTGGGAAAGGCCTCAACGCGAAGTAGTGAGACTGGATGGGTACCTTGCCCATGATCCAGTTTATGTCTGTGAAGCAATTGATGACTTTCAGCATGATGTGATCGAGGGGTCGCTGAACAAACGTGGGTGGGTCCTGCAAGAGCGTGCTCTTGCACCAAGGACCATATATTTCACAGAGAATCAGACGTATTGGGAGTGCGGGCAAGGCGTGCGCTGTGAGACGTTGACAAGGTTGACCAAGTAAGTTGCAAGCGAAATCTCTATAGCCTTCAATGCTTACCTTGGCCTTGTAGTAGCCAGGCCTCATACCTTGGGGATCCCAGCTTTCCCAAGTTAGCAATGAGGTCGACCAGAGGAGCGAAAATCCGCTTTTACGAATCACTGTACAAACAGTATTCGAACCTCGATTTCACCAAGATTTATGACCGACCTATAGCAATAGCCGGGCTAGAACAACGACTAGTCAGTGCTTTCAAGACCGAAGGAGGATACGGTGTATTCAATGGAGCATTCTTTGGGCGCAGCCTTTTATGGACGAGGGATATACAACGAAGCGATGGTCTGAAATTGATTAACTTTCCCCGCGATCAGAAGTTCAGGGTTCCAACATGGTCGTGGACAGCTTACGAAGGACCCATTACATACTTTGACATCCCTTTTGACCATGTTCGATGGACTTACAACACCGCAGAAGGAAAGATTCAATCGCCATGGACGACTATGGAGTCAGATTCTACCTCGTTCTCTTTGCATACAGGAGAGCTAGATGGAAGAATTGATCTTACTGCCCAAGCAAGGGAGATGTTAAATCTGAAATCAGCCGAGGCGCAGGGAAAGGTCACCTATGATGAAGGAACGTCGCCGCCAGGTGTACGTAAGCTATGCGTTATTGTCGGAAGCGAAAAGTCAAAGGATGAAAGATTCACGACACAGGACCTAGAGTATTATACTCTACTCGTTGCCCCCTATGATGATCTCAGCACTAGTTCCTACCGAAGGGTTGGTGTTGGCAGGTTATTGGAAAGTTGGATCGACTTTGGCAAGCCCGAGTGCATAGTCTATATATCCTAGCAACTCTCCGTAGCAAGACATTACAAGTCGATTCAAGCTCATGTGACCTTTTGCCATTGGAAAATGGACTAATGTTTATGTGCTGTATGTTTTATCTTGCTCAATTTTATGAAGCCGCCATATCACAACGGATCTGGGCTTTCTGTTCTGTGTTTGGACAGAACCGGATAATTAGTCCTTGTTTAGAAAGCCCTTATATATGGCTATTGGTGTCCTAAGTAGGTCAAGGCTGGGATAGTCTTAAGTAATATGTTGACATCGGGTTCTTGGACCTGCTCTCTGATTTAATAAACTTGCTTACTGGCAATGTCCTTGTCAATTGTGAGACTGGGACGCAAATAGGCCACGTGATTGTCAATCGTCAGGACAAACAAGCCTGTTAGGGAGGGCAGACAGCGACCTGGGTGAATGACTGCATCTTACGTATAAATTCTATCCGGAATCCATAGACCTACTTAGACCTTACAACTTTTCTGTTCATGCCTTCGACTTTGACCTTGTTAACCGTATCCCCGCGTGACTGACTGACCCGCTCTAGCTCACATCAACTGAAGCTTAACCTAGAGTGTCCGGTTTAATAGATGATATCGTTGTGCAGTACGGGGCAATTGCCATGTAGCTCCAGATAATGTAAAAAGAATGAAACATTTCCATACAGAAGCCAGACTTGCTACAAGAGATCAAACTAACCGCCTGTAATTCCTCTGTCAAAGCTGACAGATTCACCTAAGCCCGATAATTTTCAAGTTAATTTGGGATAATTAGGCGCAATCCAGGTGAGCAACGTTATTTATTATAGATACTTGTAATATGCGCTAACTTCTAGCGCGAATTATGTATTACAGATAAGTGCTGGTAGAACACTAAACCAATTTCGGCATATCGCGACGTTACCCCTCCAACAGCGTAGCCCCGCCATGATGACCGAATGAGTTAGGCCTCAGAATTGTTTTGACCATCAATCATACATCATCACTTCAATCAGCATGAGCAATTAAGAAATGACCAGCCTCGGGGTCCCAAACACTCGCGCTCACAAATACGGTCGTGTATGGTCGTGGCTCAATTCAATCGAACAAGAATCCTTTCCGACCGAAGAGTCAGAACACCAACGCAAGCGACGTAAAATAATAAACACCAAATCAGACCGCGACAGTCAATTTTATCGCATCCCGACGCCTCCAGGATCATCTCAAGACAGCTGCTTCGACATCGAGGCAAATGCACAGGGGCTTGATCCAATGCCAAGAAAGCGCAGAAGGTCGACCCACGATCAAGGTCTTGTTCACTTGGACGAAGATGGCGCTGTCGAGGATACCCCCAGAGCATCATCAAGAGGGTTGAGGCAGGGCGCTCCGAGCCTGGACCGCGAATCTTCAACCTCGTACGCTTCATCTGGAGTCTCTGGCACATCATCACCAACCAAACAGCTGCGCTATGCTGCGACGCAAAAGACCGGGTTCGATGACTTCAAATTCGATGACTTTATGGATCAGTTACCGCCCTCTCTCCAAGATTTACATCAGCAGCTTCTTACCATTGGTTACGGATTTGGGCTTCTTCCTCGAACATTGAAGCCCGAGCTGCAGAGCCTGCGTAATATACCCGAGTTTGCTTTTTACGATCCCGATAAGCATGCAAGCAATTGGCGAATTCCTCCCCCGTCGTTCATCCGCCAGGTTCTGCAGAGCGCTACCAAATGCGAATTTGGTCGTCACAGCGAAGCTTCTTGGAACATGGAGGTTCACCGATGCGTTCTCGACTTTGCTTTCCGAGAAGCAAACGATGCTTCCGTTGGTGATTACAGATACTGCACCACTGCGCACATCATACCGGAGTACAAACCCTTCGGCACATCATCCAAATGCATCGACTTTTGCATTTGCATCGAGACTCCGAAGGAAAGCATTGAGCGTCAGAAGATTGATGATGAGATCAAGACACGACCAGGTCTCTCAATCAACCATACAGATTGGGGCGACCTCTGCAAGAACCCTATCGCCCTCTCGATCGAGACTAAGCGCCAGGTCAGCTGGGAGAAGGCGCTTCTTCAGATCGGTACCTGGCATGCTGCGCAATGGCGGTCCCTCCGGGGGAGCATTGAGGCGATTGAATTCTTGGCTGGTATTATTGTGCAGGATCACGATTGGTTCTTCGTCGCATCGACGCTGCAGGACGGAAAGTCGACAACGTATCATCGGTTGCCGCTTGGGAGCACGTATAATGCATTCGACCTGTACAAGTTGCTTATGTCATTGCAATGTTTGGGTGCATGGATCAAGGAGAAGTACTGGCCTGCTTTTCGGAAGGATATGCTCAAGATATTTAATGTTGAGCAACGAGGGGATTGAGCGATGGCTGCACTTGAGATTATACCCGGCGTTTACGGCTAAAAAGAAGCGATGTCTATACACTGATCTGATAGTGAACTCTTTATTTACTATCGATGTCCATATCAAGAAATCATGCGAGTTAATGAACAACTTGGTCTAATTGTTTCCCACAAGGCAGCTTGATATTGCCCTCGTGGATACAGCCTAGAACTAACTGCGAAATCATTGAACAACTCCAGAGGGTTGCCTGAATCGATGAGTTCATCTATCGCAAGTTTATCTTTAACAAGCACGAAAACGAATTCAGCGAGTTGGGCGGTAATGGCCGTAAATTGGAGCAGTTGGTATTCTTGCACTACCATATATTGACTTCGGGTCAGACCGTCAACAGCTTTACGGAGACTAATGCCGAAGCGAACCTTTCTTGCTGTTCATCGCGCAAACAAGACACGAGCAAGATTACGGACGCCAGATGGCTGAAGACCTCGGAAAAGAGTCTTTTGTTAGTCGCAACTGAGAATGCGAGGTTTTATCTAAAGCCACTTTAAGCTACGTCCACTAACGCGAAAAGAAATAGTAAGTGGAGCTGGTGAACAATCTTGATTGGCATTAAGATTTAGCCATTGACCAAGGTGGCTAGTGCTCTAGGGTCCAGACCTGTTCCTGCATGGGTAGAAGTCACCAAGGCTTTCAATAGTTAGCAATAGCGACTGCTTAACAACCTAAATGCTGTTAAATAAATGGCTATTGACCGCCAAGTGCTGAATAGTTCCGAGAAATGAGTTGGGCGAGTCCGCGAGCGTTTCCCAGCTTCAGGGGTTATGTATGGATAGTTAAACCGCGGTTTAATTCTCTTCGAGACGATTGCATCCTTTCACTGTTTCTTTGGACCTGATCCATAGCTTCTTTTCATAATGCAGTCCAAGATTGCTCTCGTGACCTTGAGCCTGATTGGTTTTGCTGTTGGTGGTCCTTGCAAGCCTAGTAGCCGAGCCACAGTGAGCAGCCAGTCTGCGACCTCATCGGTTGTGACAATCGATGGTTCTGAGACTTCGACAGACAGCCATACAAATCTCAACAGCCTCACCATCACGTCGTCTACTGCGACCACCGAAGTACCCAGCTTGACCCATCCTCAGTCATCAACAACTACTGAAGAGGAAGACATCATCATCACCAACGCTATTTCAGGTGGCTCCTTTGCCAGTCGCGACCGCAACAGCCCAAGTGGCCTCACCAACTTTGGTGCCTCAGGTAATGCCGAGTTTCACCAAGGCGGATGCTACCGTGCTGACGGTAGCCTCGATGATGGCTGCGCGGCCTTGAGTGCTAATGGGGACGTCACCAAGCGAAGCTTCTTTGGCTCTTTTGCTAGCATCTTCCAGACTGTACGATCGGTTCCGAGAAAGAAATACACTATCCAATTCTTTTATCTTATCAGGTCAGCTGGAAGCCAAGGCTGTGTTGCAAGCGCGACATTTGGTAATTCAGAGTTCTATTCTCAGCCTGCCTCTAGCTCAGGACTATCGTGGGCCCGGGTGCTGAGGCAGGTTGAGGCACCTTCTGATTTACCAACCTTTGCTATCTCATTGACATGCTCTGGCGGTGGCGTTTCTTCAATTCTAGTCGACTCCATCTTCATCTCGGATCAAGTAACCCCAGAGACTATTGACAACTTCAAGCTTGACTTAGGTGGGAGCCCCCCAATTGATCCTGTCGAGACAACGACGGCGATCAGGGCTCAAGAGTCCCCTGCCCTCACAACAAGACCTAGCGGATCAACCAGCACTGAAGACTTGGGAAGCACGAGTGCTGAGACGCGTATCTCAACAGCCTCTCCAAAGATCAATTCTTCGGCTTCCACTGAATCAAAGTCCACTGGCTCTGCTCCCGAAACTTCCAGTGCTTCTTCGGAGAGTAGCGAGATTACAAGAACATCTTCGACTGAGCCTACTTCAGAAGAAATCGCCGACACTATAGTCATCAGTGCATCTTCGACCTCTCTAGCTGCTAGAGACACCAGCATGACCGAAACAACTAGCTCGACATCAGAGGAAGTTGGCTCGACCTCTCAATCCGTCACTACAGCAGAACCTTCTCATACCACCGGCTCTGTGTGCAAGCAAACATGTGAGATTATCAACGACTATTACGTTCATCTCGATGACTTTGGTTGCGATCTCAATGGAGTTTTCACGAATAGTGATGCTATCTATACCCTTCCCGGTGAGGATGTGGGTGCTACTCAAACGCACTGGCACAACAGCAACGACGAGTGTGCCGAGATCTGTGAGACTCTTCCTGGATGTTTGTCAGCTGGGTTCCAAAGACTCTCCGGCAGGTGTTTCTTTTCCAATACTCTGGTTACTCGAGACGAAATACGCGATGGAAGAGACAGTCAAATGGTTCATTGGTTCGGTATGGAGTGCTTCACATGCGGCTGCACTTCCGACGAGACATTGACAACGGCGATTCCTACAGCTACTTTCGTTCCCGAATCAACCGGTTTCACCTCAACCACTAAAGCTACTCAACCAACAGGTGTCTGCCACAACAACCGTGGTCAAGAATGTGAGATTAGCCCATCAAGTGTCGAAAACAATGACTATGTGTGCATTGTTGGAGGCGTCTTTTTGGGTGAGATCTGGACAGTCCCTCGCTCAATGTACCCCATGCAGGAGAACGGAGAGCAGTGCGCGGCCATCTGCGACACTCTGGAGAACTGTGAATCCTCTGGGTACTTCGGCATGGAGAACCACTGTCTCTCTACAGCAACCAAGATAACAACGGCCGACTTCGCTGATCCTGACCCGAACTACGACGATCCCGGTCTGGACCCCAAGAACAGTGTTTGGAGCCATAGATCCTGCTATGCGTGTCCAACCTGCGTCCTCAGCAACGCACCTCTTCCTAAGAGTCCAACTTGCAACTACAAGCCTGGTGACTCTTGCACGCGTGTCAGCGCGGATGGTGTCCTGTGCAATTACTCGGGAATGTTGCCTGGAACATTTGGGATTGATGGCAGCAGTTACCCCGACCAGAGTTCACCAGGAAAATGTGCTGCGATCTGCCGGAAGATGAAAGGGTGTTTGGGTTCTGGTTACAGAAATGGTCAATGCATGTTTACAAGAACTACTCTGGTGCCAGGCGATTTTCTGGATAGGCATACATACGATCTTGTCTGGGACGATCCGTCCTGCTTTGTATGCCCTGGGTGTTCTACTTAGAGATAATAAAGCGTATCACAATCGAGAAGCAATTTGGCATTATATACAGCTTTTTGTGAGGTTTCAATTTAATTTATGCGAAAGCCGAATTTCGATGAACCGCCATTTCATACTGGGGTTTCAAAGATGAATGTCATGACACTCATACAAATAGCCATTATATTTCAATTGCAGTCAATGAATCTGATCTAGTCAATTGACTCAGGCCTATGCGATAACAACAAATTGCTTTTTGAACCAGGCAATAGCCTGTTCTTCAGCCTCCTCTGCCTGTCGCGTCTCCTTTGAATCTGGCTCTGCCCTGCTTGCGCGAACCGCGAACCCATGCTTTGCTCCGGGGTAAACAACGACGCTTGTATCAACATCCATGCTCTCCAAGATTGATTCGGCTTGTCGCACTTGCTTAATTCCCATCACACCATCATCGTCGCCAATTGCAATAGAGAGTGGGCGCGCGACATTGCCTATGTCATGTGCGACATCAACGCTACTTGGATGGGCAGTGAAAAACGCATCTGCTAGTGCGCGGCCACTAGACGTTTTCGTTTCTGCTGTGTCATGGGTGAGTCTCACAGTGTGGAGTCCTCCCCAGCAGAAGCCCGCAATTCCAACAGGAAGACCTGCATCTTTGTGCTGTTGGAGCTGACTCAAGAAGCCAGTCACCCTTGGCCAACAAACACTGAAGCGGTTTCGAATCAGAAATGGGACAAAGTCCAGCATAGTAGCCAAGAGATAGTACCTAGTCGTCGGTCAGCCAAGTGATGCGAACTCTCGGCCTCAGGGTAGGAGGAGATGAAGCTCACGGTTTAGATAACCAAGATCCAGTCTCATCCCAAAGCTGTGCCATATTAATCATGGTCCTAACAGGCGCAGCACTTCCTGCAATAAAGCTAATTAGTTTTGCTTTTTGAGCTGGTCGTGCAAACGCCACACCTACCGTCCATGAAATCAGGTAAGTAAACCAGATAGTCAGCAGCTGAAGCATAATGATCCGCCAGAATTTGATTGTTAACAAAGTCAACGCCGAAAGCGTCAGGGATTATGACAATAATAGCTTTCGTGCTCTTGCCGGCGGGGGGTTCTGCAATGTAGGTTCGAAGGCCATGGACGGTTTCCCAACGACCAGTAGGAGAGCCTGGATTGACATGACCGGAAAAGCACTGAGGACACGACATGATTAACTCTGAGTATTGAACAAGAATGAAAAATTTCGAATCAATTGCCTAGTGGAATGACTGGATATTTATATTGCTACTGATATACTGGGCTGATCTTGCTGACAAGAGAGTCATTGGTGTCTCTTCATGTAGTGTTGGAATGAAATCCCCAAAGGGTTTAGCTTAAGCGCAGTCGATTGAGCTAAGCCAGCAGATGACGCTCACGTCTGAAACAGCCAATGGCATGATTGATCGTCGATAACTGTATCTCCTATCGCGGCCCAGCGTTAGTCCGATGTGGAGTGTACAAATCCCATTGGTTCTCGTCACCAGAGTCATACGCGCCATCTGCGGCATGCTTACGGAGTACTGCACGACACCATGTAACAGCTTATGCTTCATAGAATCTCAGCTCCCAACACAACGAGGGCCGACATGACGTCTTACATGCGCAGACACGCACACCCATCTGTAAATAGTAGGCGTCTCAAGTTTCCTATCTTTCGGCCTCTTATGAGCAATGGGACATCATGGCGCAGAGGGAGCAGCAATCAGCGGCCTCAGACGGAACGCGCAGTCGCAAGGGATGTCTCACCTGCAGAATTCGCAAGAAGAAGTGCGATGAGGAGCTACCCGCATGCAGTGCCTGCAGGTCAAGAGACCTGGCATGCTACGGGTTCAACATGCCGCTACCGCCTTGGATCACCAACAAGGCCTCATGGAAAGATGTCCTAGAGTCCAATGAAGCGAGAGCTCTACGGACTGTCGCGGAGCTGCGGTACAGGGTCTCGAGAAAGCTGGGTTCCAGAGTCACAGCTTCTGGCACGGCTGGACTCTTGCCATCGGACTCAGGGAGCAACAACCTCCAGCATGGGTCTCATCACTTCCCAAGAGCCTATGGGACTTTATCGGGCGCATTCCATTGCGATATCTTCTCAACCCCGTCTATTATTCTGTTGACAAATGGTGTCAATATTTGGCAGCGACAACCCGATACCATATGGTGGGACAGCAGGATGCAAAGTCTACAGCCCGGACCTGAAAGTTCTTCACGAGAAGAAACAAGATTGCTCATGTTGTTTCTCGATGTCATACATCCAATCACGCATACATTCTGTAGGTTGGAAAGCAGCAGTGAACGCAACTGGATGCTCAATCGGCTCATCAACCGAGACGGCTTATTTAGCTCAGCTCTCAGCGTCAGCGCCTGCTTCGAGCACTCGTTGACTCAAAAGGCTAGTGTTGATGAGATTGGGCTGTCGCCAAAAGTGAGTAGGTTACAGAGCCGGTCTATTTCGATGCTTCGGAAAGAGGTCGAGCGCTTTTCCCTCATGGCGCCGTTGCCAGTGGAAGATTTCGTCTGGGCTGGGATCCACCTTGTTGATATTATCGCCCATTTGGAGACGCTCGAGATTTTCAGTATGCTTCAGGGCCAGTGGGAGATCCATCACCAGGCTGCGAGAAAAGTACTAGATCATATTGAGACTTCTGTTCCACTTGAGAACCGTGAGTCAACATCTGCGATAGCAGACGTACTGTCCAACTTGCCTGAAGGAGATGTACGACGACTATCTCTGCAACTTTCCATCTTTAATTTTATTTGGATCGATGTTCTGGCCACCTCTACTTTTGGTGCGATGTCATACTGCCCTTGCGCCTTCGACTATCTACCCCTTCTAGATTCTGGTACAATCAGGTCACAGGACTTTATGGGTTGTCAAAGCCAAGTCTTTGCCATTGTCACCAGAATTGCAAGACTTGAGCAACTCCAGCTGATGCATCAAGACTTTGCAAGACCGGAACTACAACGGCAACACAGAGGACTTGAACAAAAACTCGATTATGTCTGCCGGATTCTTCAAGAAGATATTGAGAGCATGGCCGGTGAAACTTCAACTCTACATCTCGACGCTGCAAAGATTAGTCTCATATGGGCGTATGGTGCCAGAGTCCTGTTGCAAGTTGTAATTGCTCCGATTATGCCTGAGCAAAGTAGTATCGACCAAACCTTCGTCAACAGGTGCCTTGAGGAGATGGAAGCTCTCCCTACACGTCTTGTGATGCGGTCAGCTTGGCCGTATACTATCGCCGGTTGTATGGCCATGAGCGAGTCACAACATCACCGGTTTCGTCAAATCCTCAATCAGGTGCTGCAAGAAGCGCAGGCCCCTGGCATAACATGGAAAGGCCTTATTGTCATGGAGGAGTGTTGGAGACTTCGAAGAATGCACCCTGATCAAGTCTTTGGGTGGAGAGAAGCCATGGAGAGTCTTGGTGCCAGGGTGATTTTGACATAGCACTGCATCAGGGTGCGCGGTGATAGACAGAATAGAAATTGTGGTTAGGAGACAGAAAACACCGCTGCTAAATCCGTTGAAATTTATCCGTATTGAAAATTCGGCAGCCTCGTGGTCAGTGGCGTTGATATGTTGCCTTTGACTTGCCAATTCTCAGGGTTACAGTCGATACCCGAGTTTCTATATCAACAGAGCTCCCCAGGTAATAGCACTGAGTATACCAGCACAAGTCAAACGCTCGGCACCGCTCTCCGTCTTTTGGGACATATCGGACGCAATCACAGCTGAGGCTGATGCCAAGGCAACAGAATTAGAACTACGTTTCACCGCGTCGCAAATCTGCTGGTCCACGTCCCAGATGTCTGTTACCAGTACCCGTTAGACGATGCCTCGCAGATCTGTTGTTGACTTACTTTTGAATATTTTAATAGTGCACTCGTTTCCCAGACATTTTAGGAAATGGTCTGCAAACGCATCGCTGTGCGAGCACATGCATTCTAGGTCAGTACCGGCGCAGCCAACCTTCTTTCCGGCTGTCGAGATGCATTTTAAACCGCAGCCTGGCAGCGAGGAAAGATCGGAAGCAATTACAGAAGGGTTGGTTGAGGTAGTTGCGCTGGTAGTTTCTGTGGCAGTAGAAGAAGCCGCGATGACGAGCCGCAAGGCCGCAAGGATAAGGAGAATACAGGAGGCCATTGTAATTATAATAGGTGGTGAACGCACATAGATACATAAAACAGCATCTGATTCAAGAAGTGGAAGATAGAAGTAAGTGTTAAAAAGCCAGATTCAATAGGTAATAAAGTTCAAAGTGGTCTTCTTGTGAGCTATTTACGTAGTTCGGCTTTCGGCACACTGAACGTGACGTTGTGCAACTAAGCCGAAATAAGCAGTCCCACCAGATTGTTAGATGATTTGCACTAACATACTAAACATAGCCAAATTCAAGTAATATTAATCCCAGTTAGGAATCTGTAATAAAGCTAACAAGAGATCGAGGAGGGATTGTAGTCTGAAAGGAACCCTTTCCACTAGCCTTCAAGTGCTTCAAAGCAGTCAAATCATTAGAATTATCGGTCAGAAATGGCCTCAAGCTATGAGGACTTCGGCCCGCGCCAGAGACAACCACTTGGACATTACGAGCAACTGTGTCATTGTTAAGCACCTGCGTCGCGACGGTACCGTCGGTATTAAGAAAGGCACTGACTGTGACCAGAGGAACGGAGCTCGTGGCTTCGATGCGACGAGCACCAGGGCGAGCAAACCGACTGAAAGATGCAAAGGCCCAGAACCTCTTGGATGGAATGACCTTGTCGCCGATCATGTTGATCAGAGCGCTGTTGGTGGTCGAGTTCTCAGCTCCTATCCAATAGAGAAACCCGCTGACGTTGGCATCTACAAGAGCTGTCTGAATACGGCCAGCCCAGGTCATACCTTCGCCCTGGCCGCTGTTGTTGTAGAATGTGTAGGGTGTGAACTGGCCTGTGAGATCAGCCCATTCGGTGAGCCACGTCTTCTTTGTTGTTGAAAGTGGATGGTTCGGTGGCGAAACGTATCCGTGGCCAGTAACGACACCAAGGTAGTCGATCGCCGGATCAGGTCCAGCAGTCAAACCAGCCATCATGTCCTCTTGCAGATCCCAGCCCTCGCCGTCACAACAGGCGATAGTGAGATCACGAATACCTCGCTTTTGGATCGTCTTGCCCAGCACACGTATTAAGTCGGCAGCCTGTGTGCCGTTGGATAGCATGCCGGCGTAAGTAGCGGCGAACTGAGGCTCGTTGAGGAACCCCAGGTTGGTGACCTCAACGCCTGATTTGCGGTAAAAGTCAACCCATTGAAGCAGGTAGTCTGCGTAAGCCTGCTTCCAGTCGCCAGAATCGCAGGTAGCGCCTGTAACACCGCACAAATACCCTCCATTATTTTCGTCGTGATTCGTTTTCATATAGCCCGGGGCGGACCAAGCATCGCCATAAAGGAAATTCAATCCTCGCTTGAATGCTTCTTTAGCGACGATGAGCTGACCGCTGTCGTAATTGTCCCAGATGTAGTGTGGCTTTGATCCGGGTGAACCTGGAGAGAAAGGCTCGATTGAGTTCATGAAGTTCTTGTCAGAACTGTTGCTTGAACCAATGCCATTGCGCAGGATGGAAAAGCCTGCACCAGTTTCCTTACTAAATAGCAGGTCCAGTACATGTTGAGTCCCTTCTTTGGAAAGACCGTCTTTTCCAAGAATGTCCTCCGCCCTCTGAAATGCTTGCGAGGCGCCAAAGCCGTCAAGCTCTTGGTATTTGACGTGGCCATTCACAGAAATCAAGACTTCAGAGTCTGATTTTGAATCCGTGGGAAAGGCCACCACGGAGGCTGAGCCCAAGTAGCCCAGTAGGTTCAAGGCGGCAAGACCACGAGCTAGCGGACCCATGGCTGTTCAAGAAGAGATAGAATGATAGGGAGGAAAGGTATGGAAGAACCAACTCTGTTTTCTCTTTAAAGAGAAGCTGTCATCCTGCCAATCAGCAGAAATGGTGATCTCAATACACGATTTATAGGTAATCAGAATGCTGAGCCTTCTCGGCCTCCGCGTAAATATGTTGCCCGATCGACCCCTGGACATAATCCACGGCGTTTGACGTCGGCATGCTGCCCGGACCAACTTATGCAGCATCGTCACCCTATGACCTACACTATGACTTAGACAATCTTCAATGGGCTGCTTGATGACCTCGTCATTAGCCGTCAGAGTTTTGCTTGACCTACCAATGATCAAGAACTGTAGGCGTAGTTTGGCTGTACTCTTGATGAGTTTAACCAGAGTTCTGGGTAAATCCAAGCTCGGCTTTCGTCTATCTAATACCCCGCACAATAGCCAACCTTCCCCGGACCAGAATGGAAGTCAATCTTGGTAAATTGCACGTGTGGGGGAACATTTCAGTCTTGAGTATGTCCTTCTCCAGTGCCGAGTTTGCCGGTCCTGGACGGGCTCCACCCCCGCAATTCTCTCCACTTTCCCCCGAACTTGGCTTGATTCCGTTTACTCTCGCGCCGATAGCTACCAAATCTCCTATCAAATAACCGCTCATCATGTCAGTGAACCCTTGCTGTTTCTACCGTGTCCTCTCTTACCTATGATCTAATAAATAGGCTAAATTAAATCGAAGTTGCCATTCAAAAACCTGGCCGTTTTAATCCCTGTATGCTTAGAGTCAGTCTACGGTGCCGTCGTTGCCGAGCAGAGTAGTCCACTTCCCCATGGGTCATATCAATAATAACCCTGGAGCTGGTTCTGCTACGACGTTGGAGTGGAGCCAGCTGAATCCTTGATCATCATTGTATATGAAGAAGACGAAGATCCTACCTCGTTTATCTGGATCGTTGCTAACAGCCATTGCTTGTCGATTCATTTGACAGCCTCTGGTAGTGCATTTCTTGACCTCACCGTCTTATACCTACTACAAATCGACTCATAAAAAATCCTCCAACGACGAAATCAGTATGGCAGAAAAGCGCGCCGAATCCATTGAGATGGCGCCACCAGATGGCCATCATGGCTGGACAGGCGACACCTCTGCTGAGGCTCGCGCCGCCACAGAGGCAGAACATTCCCTCAACATCCGCCAGGCCATCCAGAAATACCCCAAGGCCTGTTTCTGGTCCTGCGTTGTGTCGCTAGTAATCATCATGGATGGTTACGATACAGCCCTCCTCGGGTCACTCTTCGCCTTTCCCGACTTCCAAAAGCGCTTCGGCATTGCCAATCCTGCCAAGCCAGGTACATACCAGCTCGAGCCTAAGTGGCAGACAGCTCTTGGCCTGGCTAGTTCCCTGGGAGGCATCGTTGGTATTTTCTTCAACACGTGGATGACGGAGAGGATCGGACACAAAAAGACACTTCTGATCTCTTTATTCTGGTTGGCTGGAACCATCTTCATCTCCTTCTTTGCCCCGTCAGTCGAGGTTCTGTTTGTTGGTCAACTGCTTTGTGGGCTAGGATGGGGTGTCTTCACCACAATGGGGCCTGCGTATGCCTCTGAAGTCGCGCCGGTTGTCCTTCGTGCGTACCTTGAGACCTACGTTGTCCTATGCTGGGGCATTGGTCAGCTCCTCTCTTATGCTGTTCTGGACTCACTTGTTGGTAACAAGAGTATCTGGGCCTGGAGGATTCCCTTTGCCGTGCAGTGGGTATGGCCTGTTATCATCGCACCTCTGATGTTCTTCTGCCCCGAGTCTCCTTGGTGGCTGGTCCGCAGTGGAAAATTGGAAGAAGCCAAGAAATCCCTGAAGAGGCTTACATCAATGTCAGACCAAGAGCTTCAGAACCAGCTATCTCTCATGGTGGAAACAACGGAGCTGGAACGCAGCATCACAGAGGGAGCTTCGTATCTCGACTGCGTCAGGGGCTCCAACCTGTGGCGCACGGAAATCGCATGTGTTGCCTGGGCGAGTCAAGTCCTCGTTGGCTTTGGTGTCTCCTCATATGCCACTTACTTTTTCGAACAAGCCGGCATGTCGACCAAGAACGCTTACAAGTTGACTGTTGGCCAAGGCGGTCTTCACTTTGTCACCGTCCTTCTGTCCGTTTTCATCGTCGCGCGACATGGACGGCGATCGATTTACATTTGGGGCTGCCTCCTTATGTCCGCTGCCATGTTTGTGATTGGCTTCGTAGCTATCCCAAGCCAAAGTAGTGCCACAGGAGGTGTGTCTGCAGCCTTCTACTACGTCTGGTACTCTACCTACGAGATGACCATTGGTCCGATTGCCTACATCATCGTCGCCGAGGTCTCCTCTACGCGCCTTCGCTCCAAGACAATTGGTCTCGCTCGTAATGCCTACAACGTCATCAATATTGCGGCCACATGCGTTGTCCCTCATATACTGAACCCCACTGCTGCAAACTGGAAGGGTAAGTCTGCTTTTCTGGCTGCGGGCTTTTGTATCCTCTGCGCCGTTTGGGCTTGGTTTCGTCTTCCTGAGCTAAAGGGTCGCACGTACGAGGAGCTCGACATTTTATTCACTAAAGATCTAAGTGCTCGGGAGTTCAAGGGCTACGAATTCGATAATAATATCGACATTGATGAGAAGCTGGGTGTTGAGCATAAAGAATGAATTCACGGCGCCAAGAACTAAGGGGTTTGAGTGCACTAGCTATTACGGTCTATCTAGCTTTAGATATGGAGGGATAGTTAAGCAGGAAATCTAGAAATCTATTCTTTGAGTTTAACGTCAGTTTCTCGCTTTGAAAATGACTCTTCTACATATAATGCTTTGTATCTAATAATTATACGTTTGGGCAATCCTCGCAGCTCCTAGGTAGAGTTTAAGAAGCCTAATATTTTTTTCTTTCTCCGGTAAAGATAACTGTTTCCCTATGGGCAACCCATAGACTGTGTTGAACATATGATATGCTTCAGGGTCAATATACATTCTGATTTGAACCCTAAACGGAAAGTAATTTCCTTTGGAATTGGGCTCTCAACTGTAGCTGTTTGTCGGCCATGGGATCTATCTCATGGAGAGAATGCCGACCTGCAGGGTAATCTTGGCTAAAGCCAAGATCTACTGTCCCCTGGCCTTCAACCTATTGGAGTAACTTTTAGACCGAGTGCGGGGGTTGGGGTAATGATAGCTTAATCCCAGCGTATTTAGCCGGGCCTAGTATAGGAATCGGCTACGAAATGCCGAACAAGACTGCGTGGGGGATTAAAGTGTCACACGTATTCTGGGCTTTTATCCGCTTTAGCGTAAGAATCGGCTCCCAGATGCCGGGTGAGACCCGCTCAATCTTTCGGCTCAGCTAATGAGGTTCGTATTTTGCCATTGACCCTGATTTCTCAGCCCGACATACGATATTCTCCAAGTATCATGATTTGTGCTCACATGGGCTTCAAGCATGACAATTCAGTAGCTGAAGATTATCCGCCAAAATCGCTCATCGCAATCAATGGGTAGGGTAGCTGCTTATACTCTTAAGGACTGAAATACCACAGCTTTCTCCTCGAACCACGTGTGCAACAAAGAGGGCAGTATCTAGTGACAACCATACCAGGAATCATCCCAAAAATGCTTCCCCGAGAGAGCGGAATTGATGGTTGGCTGCGATATGCCCCTCTATCCGAGACCTTGCGCAGCCTCCATAAGCCAGTTTCTAGCATCATTGCACTGAGCACCAACCCAACAAGCCCAGTCTTTATCGCTGGAGCGGAACTTCGATGTGGCATCGAACGTATCCTCGGACAAAGCGTTGGGGTTGGCTCTCACTTTCACGGTGACGCTAGAGACTCAATCATAGTCGGCACTTTGTCAGCTCTGAAAGCGAATGGAGGACATCCTCTCCTTCAGTCGGTACCTGCTCTTGATGAAGACGGATTTTGGCTCGGTATAAATGTTAATGGAAGCAATGACATTCACATTGTCGGTCAAAATGAGCGAGGAGCCCTTTATGGAGCATTCGAGTACCTCTCTCTCCTTGCACAAGGAAAACTGGCCAAGACCAATGTCCAACAGGCATACAACCCTGGAGCGGCTATCAGATATGTCAACGAATGGGACAACCTCGACGGTAGCATAGAAAGAGGTTACGGCGGCAAGTCCATCTTCTTCTGTGATGGAAAGGTCTTGACGGACCTGTCTCGCGTCCGCCAATATGCTCGCTTATTGGCCTCAATCCGCATCAATGGCTGCATCGTGAACAACGTCAACTCGAGCCACAATCTTCTCAACGAAACAAATCTCGATGGGCTCGGTCGAATCGCCGATATAATGCGTCCCTATGGAGTGCGTATTGGTGTTTCATTATTCTTCGACACTCCCCGAGGCCTTGCTGGTCTGCCAACATCAGATCCTCTCGATCCTGATGTCATCAAGTTCTGGGAGGATATCACGACTAAGCTGTACAAGCACGTACCGGATATGCTTGGATACACCATCAAGGCCAACTCGGAAGGTCAGCCGGGTCCTTTGACATATGGCCGAACACTTGCGCAGGGAGCCAACATGTTCGCTCGTGCCCTGAAACCTCACGGTGATGGCATCGTCATGTATCGCGCTTTTGTCTACAACCATCACCTGGATGAAACCGATCTCAAAAATGACCGAGCCAATGCTGCGGTTGAGTATTTCGCCCACCTTGATGGCGAGTTCGAAGATAACGTCATTATCCAGATTAAGTTTGGTCCGATAGACTTCCAGATTCGCGAGCCCCCCTCGACTTTGTTTGCCCATCTCCGGAAGACCCCCGTGATCTGTGAATTCATGGTATGTCAGGAGTACCTGGGTCAGCAGTCGCACTACGTGTACATGGCACCAGAATGGGAGACAATTCTCAGCTTCGACATGCGAATTGATGACAAGCCTTCCCTTGTAAGAGACATCGCATCCGGCAAAGTCCACGGATTGAACAAGGGGGGTTATGCTGCAGTAACCAACATCGGGAATGACCCTACATGGCTGGGAAACCATCTGTCTATGTCAAACCTCTATGCTTACGGTCGATTGTGTTGGGATGCAACTACTCCAGCGCAGGATATCCTGCTGGATTGGATTCGCCTGACATTCAGCGCAGAGAACCAGAAGGTGATAGACACCATCCGCGAGATCGGGATGGAGTCCTGGCCTACATATGAAGCCTATAGCGGTAACCTCGGGATCCAAACCCTGTGTGACATCCTCTACACGCATTACGGCCCCAGCCCAGGTTCACAAGATGGGAACGGCTGGGGTCAATGGACTCGCGCAGATAGCAAGGCCCTCGGCATGGACCGCACCCTTGCCACTGGCACGGGCTTTGCAGCTCAATACCCACCTCAGGTCGCTGCTCAGTTTGAGAGGATCGAAACAACGCCAGATGATCTTCTTTTATGGTTTCATCATGTTCCTTATACGCATAAGCTCAAGTCTGGTAAGACTGTCATCCAACACATATACGATGCCCACTACGAAGGATCGGCAAATGCTCAGACCTTTGTGACGAGGTGGGCATCCCTGAAGGGCCTCATTGACGATGCTCGCTTTGAGCACGTTGCGTTCAAGCTTGCGTATCAAGCAGGCCACTCACTGGTTTGGCGTGACTCGGTGAACAACTTTTATCTGGCCAAGTGCGGCATCCCAGATGATAAGAACCGTGTTGGGAACTACCCCTGGCGTATAGAGGCCGAGAGCATGCATTTGAGTGGCTATACCATTGTTGACGTAACCCCCCCTGAAGCAGCGTCTCGTGGACGTGCCATCGTGGCATCATCATTAGAAAAGGCCGCTGCAACCACGAAACTGTCGTTCCCCTCAAGGAGATGTGATATCGCCGTCAATTACTTTGATCACACTGGTGGGCATGCACGATACGAGCTTCTCCTAGATGGAAAGATTGTTGGAGAGTGGACTAGTAACCTTGACACGCGGCTCGGCCATGACTTCTCAGAGTATCGAGACGGACACTCGGCCACTAGAGTTTACTTCCGTGGTGTTGATGTACGAGAGGGCGCCGAGCTGACTGTAATCGGTTACCCAGATGAAAAGGACCTGGCACCACTGGATTACATCTCGTTTTTGCCGGAAGGCGTGGTGGATTAAGCAACCAGTGGGGCTCAAAAGTTCTATAGAAAGTTCCGAAATAGCCAAATGTTTACTCAAAAAAAGATAGAGAGAAGCCTCGCTCAAAGAATTTCTCCTCAGAAATCATTACTCTTTGTTATTAAAGACCAGAGACGAACCTCCAGTCTACATCTAGCAATCAATCATGGTGCCATGGAATTGGAGATGAGTAATACGATAGCAATCTCGTGTGGACTTGGCTTCGATCAGTGACTTCTCCACTTGAGGGAAGCTTTTTGTATTTAACCGGCATTAGGTTTTATTACTTGATGGGTTCCCTGCACTAATTAAACTAAGACGTTTAGCACCATGGTCCAGCTGCCTGCTGTCCTTACCCTTCTTCCCTGGTAATCAAAACCTCATCCATAGACGCCGCAGAGCATCACCAGTCAGCCCTTTGAGATGGAGTCTTCGTCTAAATGGGTGACGGCCTGGGCACCAACGCCTCAGCCTACTGAGGAGGTAGATATGCCACCACATCCATTCGTAAGGCCAGCCAAATTCCCTGGTTCATAACAAAGGGTTTGCTTACCACCATCGTTTGACTAGACGCAGCGCGGGGTTGCTTTTCAGAATACCACCATTCGACAGACATTGAGAGTGACGGCCGGCGGTGACTATGTCCGGATTCGCCTGTCCAACCAGTTTGGATTCGAGACATTGCACATCTCAAGAGCTGTGATTGCTGTTCCTCGACCATACAACTCAGTCGCTCCTAGTGGCTCTCCTTCGATCTTCAAGGATACAGCACAGCAGGTTCTGTTTGACGGCGAACAACCGGCTTTAGTACCAGGTGGCTCCCACGTGGTTTCAGACAGCCTCAAGTTCCCAATCAAAGCGGGGCAGATTCTTTCAATTACCATCTTTCTCAAGAATGGCCAAAATTCTCAACAGATCACCTCCCATCCAGGCAGTCGCACAGACTCCTGGCTTTGTTATGGCGACCAGTCGATGGCATCTGAACTCTCCGGGCCTGATCTACAAGCTTCAACACATTGGTATTTCCTCTCTGGAGTCGAAATACGTGTCGATGCTGCTCACCACGGAACCCTGGTTCTCCTGGGCGACAGTATAACTGACGGGCGCTGCAGCACAGATAATGCAAACAATCGCTGGCCAGATCTTCTGTTTGACCGCATGCAGCAGCATCCATTCGCACAGAATATGTCCATCATCAACCAGGCCGTAGGTGGTGGGAGGATTCTACGAGATGGAAAAGGACCAAGTCTTTTGAGCCGTCTAGATCGCGACACTATTGCTCAGCCAGGCCGACGCTACATCCTGGTTTTTCATGGAGTGAATGACCTGGGCACGGCAGATTCTGACCCAGTATCGCTTCAAGAGGTCACAAAAGCTCTTATGAAGGCATATCGCCAGATTGTCTCGCGTTGCCATGCGCACGGTTTACATGTTTTGGGTGCCACTATTGGTCCTATGGGTGGTAACGAACCTTACGGAACCTGCGAATTGCGTGAAAGGGCGCGCCAGGAGTTAAACGATTGGATTCGGAAGTCTTGCGT